GGGGTTATGGATTATTTGTGGGCATAAAATATAAGCTCCATTAGAACTAAGGTTTCTCCTCGCATGGCTGTATTTTTAAACCACCTTTTTTGCCAAGAAGGAAAGAAAGGGTTCTACTCCCCACTGAAGGGACAGCAGAAACCCCATTTTTTTATAAACCCCCATTAACGCTAGAGGCAGAAGCGGGCCATAAAAATTCTTAGCTTAGGGCAAACACGAGTGCCTTGGGTAAAGCCTGGTCTGTCCTTGAAAAGTAAAGAATTAAATAGTGTTTATTGTGACATAAAAGAAGTAAAGGCGGGCAAAGTAGCCAGCCCATCAAAAGTCAACCCACCAACCATGATCGCAATCCCCCTGCCCTAACAGGGGCACTCAAAAGAGCTAGAAAAGCAAGTGGGAGGGGAAACTCGGGGTTTTTTGCCTTGACCACCTTCCTGAGGAAGGAGAAAAGTCTCCACGTGTGGAAACAATATAAAAAAATGCTCTTGAAATTTCAGACGTGTTTTTAGATTTCTTTGAGGGGCATTTCGTGGGCAGAACACCACCCCTACACCCAGAAACATGCAGTTTCTGAATAAAGATTCAGAATCCATACTGCACTTGGCTATTGACTATGTAAATGTCCAAAGGCAACATGGAAATGAAGGCTACCTGGAACTTGAGTATGTAATTTACATACAATAAGTATTGGCCAGTCTTCAAGAACACTGAAACCTAGGTAGAACTTAAGCGCAGTTTAAGCCAATAAAATATTCAATTATATGGACATAACTCCAGGAGTTCATGATGGATCAAGACTGTCTCCAAAATAGTTAAAGTTTGAGCATCTAAGTGAATATAGCTGGAAAATACTTGAATATAAAGCTAAAGTGATATGAACTCATTTCTCAAATTCACAAAGAAATTTGAAGTCTTTTAAACTATTTGCTACCCACCATTTCCCCCCCATGTACAAAAAAACCTCAAAGGTGAGAGAAAATTTTTAATTAATAATTTAAAAAAACACACAAAAGAGTTCAGATTTGAAAGAAAAAATTCTAACTTTCTAGCCTGACACCTATTTTCTAACGAAATGAAACAGACACCGGAGAGAAGAAAATATTCTCAGTGGTTCATTTCACCTGGGGAGAACTTCCTTCCATGAAGGTGATTCTTAGGATTTTCATAATTTGCGGATTTTAGGCAAGCAAAGTACAACTCAGAGACATGAAGCTCTTCAAAGCTGCAAGAGCTGAATGAAGATTTACTAGCATTTTTCCCCATTAAAAAGATCATCTTTGAAGATGTTTACTAATTTTCATGAAAAGATCAAAGATTTGCTTCTGAAAGACTTATCTGCACATCAAAGTTTGCCAGCAAATTAATTGAAATGACTTCATAATAGAAAAAGAAATGTGTATCAGATTTCCTGCCATCTATAATTCAGTCAATATTCCAAGGAAACAAAATATTAGCAAGTGATTCATAATACATAATTAGTTTTTGGCAGAGTAATGCTAATTGGTAATTCTGGTCAGCTGGAGTTCAGGAAAAATCCATGTTCACTGACATTATCACTGAAAGTGTCCCTTATTCAGTCCATGATATTATTTGGACAGGGAAGAATAGAAGTAGAGAAGACCTTATTGTTTCCCCTTAACTGTAGTCATTTTTGCAGTCACACAAGTGGAGAGTTATATTAGTTACTCAAGTCCGAACAATTACAGCATTAGAGTCACTCAGAAATTTTACTCTAATGACTGAAAGCAACCCTTTAGATGCTTATTTTTAACAGTGATCAATGAGACAGCATGTAGAAAAACATGTTTTAGAGTTTTAAAACAAAGGTGGTAAGTAGAAGCTCTATTTATGTTGTCAGAACTTTATCTGCCCTCTTTTAATTTCACAAATGACCTAATTATACATGTTCTCAACATGTCTCAGGAGAAGAAGAATTGCTGATACTGTCAAAAGGCAAAATGCTAACTATGTTTTGGTGCTTCTCACATTGCATGGCCTGAAAATGGGCATTATTAAAATTATACTTTGACATTCTTCTGCAACATGGCATTAAACACTTCCTAATTATGTCACAGTGAGAACTGAAGTACTTTGTGATATTTAGGAAGAAAACTGACTCCGACCAGTATGCCTGACATGAATGCTTACTATTTTTGCCATCTAAGATATCTTCATTTATGTACTTTTTATAACAAGTACTTATTGGCTACTTAACATATCATTCATCGTGGCTTATTCTTTACAGATGCTGCATTATTTTACTGTGTCTATTGCAATAAATTACCACAAACGTGATGACTTAGCACAAGAGAAATTTATTTTCTCTTATTTATTTTCTGAGCACTATAGAGTTTCCGGAAGCAAGCCATTTCAGAAGTGGATGTAACTCCTGCTTCCAAGCTTGTTTTAATTGGGAAGCTCCACCAAACACTGTCCACCATGGGTAACCATTATCACATTTGACACATCACTGTCACAGTGTTCAGCATCACAGCAACCATGAGTTACCTCTGTACAGCAATGCACAGATCAGTGTTATACCCCTAGAAGAATGTTTAACAGAAAAACAATTTGAACCAGGTCCGAGGGCCACAGATTAAAATCACCCACTTTGGGTGACTTTCCTGGAGATTAGATGTTCATAATCCAGCAGGGCACCTCTTCTGGGGCTTCTAAGGGAGAATACACTCTATCCCAGCTTCTGGTGACTGCTCCAGCATGCTGTAGGCTTCTGGCTACATCACTCCAATCTCTGTGGTAACTGACTTCTCTTCATGTGTATGTCCCATATAAAGACACTTATTACTGGCTTTAGGGACCACCTGGATAACTGAGGATAATCTCATCATCTTGAGATCCTTTAACTAAATTAAATCGATGAAGATTCTTTTTTTAAAAAAAGGTTCTTAGGTTTAGAAGTTGGAAAAAACTTGAGAATCATCATTCAACTCACTACTGATGCCAACTTGCAAAATGTATTTTGTAGATTTGTTCCATCATATCCTCTTGAAAGGATAAACATTATACTTTTTTACAATGCAACCTCTTGTTGGTAAAGGCCATTGGTAAAGGCCATGGTTAAATGCATTCATTTACTTTAAAATGTAGGTTTTCTTACCATTTTATCTGGTAACTTTAATAGTGAATATGTTGATTTTCTTTGTCATTCAGATATCACTGAAAGGGCAGAAAAGCTCCCAAATATCCTGTCTTTCTCCCTCTTGTGTAAAAACTTAGGTTTCTCATGGGTGGTCAACGATGGTGGTAGATGGTATAAGGAAGTGTTCATCTGCTATCTCCTTAGATACCTATTGGACTTGAATGTTGTATCTTGTATTATTCCAGATGTTGGAAATAGAGACTGGGCTGGCTTTTGGGGCATACTACCTGCCTGTGTTGTAGCAGGAACTTAGAAGAGTCCTGCCTTAGAACTATCTTGAAATTACTACTAATTTTTGAACAAGGAATCCTGCATTTTCATTTTATAGTGAGCACTGCAGATTACATAGCCCCTCCTGAATGCTGTGGTGGACATCACAGAGAAGGTCCCTGGTCTCAAGGACTGGACAAAGGTTCTGCCTGATATTGATTGTTGCAAGTAAATAATACAAATCAGAACCCTTTGGTTGTCACCTTAACTAGTGGAGAATATGGCAACACATTTGGACAGAGTCTAAATCTTAGACCCATTTACACTGTATTCACATTTTGTCTTCTACCAGTTTTCTACTTATTGTTCACTTTACACTTCACTCTGAGCTTTCTTTCCCAGAAGTTGTTATTGTTAGGTGTCATCGAGTTGAGCATCACTCATAATGACACTATGCACAAAGGATCTGAACCCTGCTCTATCCTGCACCATCCTTACACGTCCTGACACACTAGAGCCCATTGTAGCAGTCACTATGTCAATCCCCTAGCTGAGGAAACAGAACCATAATTTGCTTACTTAGTGTCTCTGTCTCTGTCTGGCTCTCTCTCTCTTTCACACATACACACACACACACACACACACACACACACACTCTCTCAAAATTAATGGACATCATAAATCTACATGTTCCCTGTAATATAAACATTAGTTTTAACATTTGAGGAGTAAGAACCTTGGAATCATTGCCAATAAAAAACATTTTGACATCAAACACATTTCAAAATCTAATCTGAGACATGTCTTTCAGAAAACAGTAAGTAGTGTAATATTTATTTTCTGGTATGTGGTTATATATTTGGACTTCTCAAGAATTACTGTCTCTGTATTTTCATCATAGTTGTATGTGAGACTTGTACGTGAGACCCAGCTCATTATACCTGGTTGGCTTTTAAGCAATCCAATTTTATCGCAGACCAAACATATAAAAATATATGTATTTTGAAATTTGTTTTTATCCTGAAAGGAATAAACTCAGAACTGAAGAGGCTGGTGGAAGTTTAATGCAGTTCAATTAAGGATTTGTACCCCAAAGTACAAGTTGCTGCTTTTAGCTCCGTTTCTAGATTAGTCACACACTACATACATAGCCATTTTTAACATCATTGTGTCATTACCAGTGACTTTAATTACTGTTTGGTAATCTTCTCTACTTATACCAATATTAATTAAATCCATCACTGGGGGGGGAGGAACGTTGAAGGGGTTGTCCCAACATATGTTGATTTAAAAGGCAAATCATAATCTTAACTGTGGCTAATTTTCTCAGACCTTTGTGGATCACACCATTAATTTTAAAAATTAATTCTAAAAAAATAAAGAACTTGTTTTCTCTATCCATCTTAGTGCCTCCTGTTGAAACCAGCTCACTACCAGTGAAAACAACCTCTTTATTCTCTTATAATGCTGTAACTGTCTGTGCTTCCAGATTAATCTTCAAATGTCAAAATCTGTACTCAGAGCCAATAGGGAAGGGTTTAACTGACATTCCATGAAAGAAAACAGCTCTCCTGATGCCAGTGGGTTATGATAAGGGAGGCCTCACACACTGAATCAAGAGTGCCATTACCCTCACTCCCATGAATCTGTCTTTCAGCACAATCCACGAGAGCAAGAAGACAAAGGCTTTGTTACAACAGAATAGAGCGGAGACGTCTGTGGCCGTCAGCTTCTTTAAAGCCAATAAATACAGGTAATTAGTCAAAGTCCATAGAATAGAAAAGGGAGCAGTTCTTTTAAGAAAGAGCTTCAACGTCAGACCATCTTCACCAAAAATCCGACTGCATTCCCTAGGAGAGAAGAAGAGATTAATATTCAGGAACTGTTTGTGACACATTGAGCCTTGCCTAGCTCTTGACAGTCATTTTCAGACAAAGGCATAAACACTCAAGGCTGATCATTTGTCTCAGGAACAAAGACAGCTCTGCCACTTACAGGCCACAGGGTCTACACAAGTTGTCTAGCAAAACACTTAAGCTCATGGCCATGGAGTCCCAAGCAACTCATAGCTGATCCTCTGTTGGGTCTCCAAGGGTTTCAATACCCTTTTAATTGGATTTCAAATTGATTTGAAGAGGCTGATAACTGCCTTTGGGTTAGCAGTACAACTCCCTATGGACAACTCATACTTCCAGGCACAGAGCTGGGCCCACCTCTCCCTGGATGCTCTTTTGAAAATGACAGGACAGACAGCATTCAGTTATACCTTAATATTTTCAGAGAAATTCAGAACTCTACAGAAATGAATAATTACTGAATGACTCGCTATTATAGGGAAAAAAAAGAGTCTTTCTCTATGGTGACCGGTTCGAGATGCCCTCTACTATTTAAACAGGAAACTCTGGTGGCTTAGTGGTATAGTTGAGCTGCCAACCCAAAGACATATGGTTCAAATCATCCAGATGCTCCATGAGCAAAAGGCAGATAATCTCCTTCTATGTGATTGACTGTCCTCTGAACACCTGCAGGAGGTTCAACTATGAGTCCCAACTCACAGTATATAACAACAACATAGACAACTCATGGAATCCCACAGAAGACTGACCCTAATATATCACGCATAGAACATGAAACATTATTTCCAAAACACTATGCCTCATCCTACTATAGCTGCTCAACTGATGCCATTTTTTTCCTCCAGTATTTTTAAGGCAGAAAAATGAGGGATCAACATCTGCAATATTCCCAAGGCCACAAAAATGAGATATAAAACTCAGGTTGTATTTATATCCAAAGCACTGGGCCATTTTGGAAGAACTGTCTGAATTCAGCAAGCAAAAAAGTCACTTTCCTTACATCTTTGAGTAGTTTGATTTTTTGGCTAAATTGATTATTTAGCCCAAGGGACTATTACAATCAAAATGTTCAACCTAGTGAAAACATATTTTAATGGAATAGTTATTAGGGAATATAAAGGCAGTAATTGCAGGAATACAACAAGAGTAATTATTTGACCATTTACGATTGGAGAAGGTAGTAATTCCCCCCCCCCCCAGTTGTCTAAGCATTTCCTGGGCAACTTACCATGACATTGTAATTTGAAGATTAGTAAAACTATCCTATTTAAAGCAACAAGTTATACATGCTTGTAAAATTTATTATAAAAGGGACTTACAAGGCTCTAGACAATATTTAGTTGTTCTCTTCCAGCTAGTTCTGAAGGAAAGAAGCGTGACTCAAAGTATTATAAACCAATATAGTGTACTTAGTTTCATTTCATTAGCAAGCTCTGTGGGAGAAAGATTGGCAATCTCCTCCCATGTGATTTACTGCCTCTGAAAACCTGCTGGAGGGTGAGATATGAGTCAGTTCTTACCTGATGGTACATAACAATGCCAACAGAGGAACACAAGACATGGAGTGATTAAATGATGCTGCAAGGAGGGACCAGTCCTTTGAGAGGGACATCATGCTTGGAAGGGTGGAGGGACAGCACAAGAAAAGAAGACCTTTCAATGAGATGGATTGACTCAGTGACTAGGGTATTGAGGGTAGGTGTGTCAGAGACAATAAGATTGACATAGGATTGAGCAGATTTTCAGGACTATTGTATATAGGGTCTCTATGAGTTGGAAGCAACTTGATGGCACATAACAACAACAACAATAACAACTCATAACAAGGAACATAATCTCAAATAGAATACCTCACAGCAAACATCTGAACTCAACTCTAATTGCTTTCAACAGCCAAGAATTTCAGGAAGGTATAAACTTAAAACTGCACACATACAATTCCATGTTGTGGTTTTACTTTCACATGGGAGATAAACAAAAAAGGAAGTGTTCTCATAAGGTGAAAACATGATTACCCAGTGTTTTTAAGAGTCTAACTTGAAAGAGACGAAATTTCAAGGAAGGGATCAAGCAACATAAAGGCAAAGCCTTTGTCAAGCAAACAGAAGTGACATGCGCTCATACAGGTAGGGCAATGGGTGACTTCTCTAAAGCCCTCCAGCCACTGGGATATTCTGGGTCCAAGCCCTCACTTAGGTCAAGTGGTAGTTCTCATCAAGCACTCTGAACACAAGAACACATACTGTACTCAGAAAAGATTTGTTCTTGAAAAAAAGGCTGCCACATCCAATTGGAGTTGAGAGTTGTGAGTTTATCCTGACACTAACTACCTTCTTAAATGTACACTGAAGAACAACAATGAAACCCACATCTGATTAAAGGGGCTGTCTCATCACTGGCCCTAGTCAGTGATGGCTCTCTCTTCGCAGCTTCATGCTGCTTGAGTCCTCTTACGCAGAGACTCTGGATGCACTCAGTGGGATACTCACAGCCCATCAGGGGAAATGAGCAGATGCAGAAAGACAAGAAGGAACCCACAGCTCAGGTGGAAATGTTGCTGCCCAGCAGGGACTGTGCACACCTGGCTTCTCCTGCCCACACCTGGCTGTCCTGTCCCCTAATTCTTTACCTCGGTTCCCATCCATTTCCTTTCTCTTCTCATCATCAACCTTCTCCTTATCTGCCCATTTGTCACTGCTGTTGCACAAGTGACAAATACTTTCCTTTGAAATATCAAATACTCTATGGACAATGTTATTCCACATAAGCACAGAGCACTGGGAAATGTGAACCCTTTCCTCCCCTACAAAAGAGAAAAAAAAGAATATGTTTACGGAGAAGCACATAGACCCACTCTTTGCTTACCATCATGGCTACGTTTCAAAGACCAGACAGTTATGTGAAAATTGGCATCTTGAGAAAATGAAGGACAATCTCATTGGATCACAAAATGGATGACTGTATTATTATCTAATTGATAGATTGAAGCACTTCCTAATTGCCAAATTATATCATTACCTGCTAAACCACTGAGAAACAGGACCCAGACAAGCTGGCTCATTCCTTATCTATCACAGCCAGTACTACTATTTTTTTTTTAAATGTAAATCTAAGACTGTATTGAACACATTGTACATGCATGAAACATAATGTATATGAACAATAAAAATATTTTTAAAACCTGGTTGCTATGAGTCGCAAGTGACTCAACGGCACATAACAATAACAAGAACATTGGTAGAGCAATCCCCCCCCACCCCCCAAGCTGTACAACCCTATAGTTTCACCCTATCCATCCTCACCCCTCTGCTCTCATCCCTTATAGAAGGCAGGGATACTGGGAGGCGGGGCAGAGTTGGCCAAAGGCCTATCAGGCTTGTGGGTAGGGTTAAAACGAGTGACTGTATGGGGTTGGGGCTGAATGGGTGGGAGCCTGGATGACTGTGGTGGGCGGGGCTAATGGGAGGTGAGACAGACTACCCCCTTAAATCACCCCACGTCTTACTAGTTACCCTTCCATTTTTACAATAATGGTCTTATGTAGTATTTGTCCTTATGAGACTGAGTTAGTTCACTGAGCATGGTGTTCTCCAGTTTCTCCTAAGTTATGCACTATTTTTTTGAAAACATTGCTCCTGAGGGCTGCATAGTATTCCATGGTGTAAATGTACCACAGTTTCTTAATCCATTCAGTAGTGATAGTACATCTGGACTGTTTCCATGGTCTTGCCATAGTAAATAATGCTGGTATGAACACTGGTGTACAGATCTCTGTGTCTCAATTCTTTCTTTGGGGTATATTCCTAGTAGTGGAATAACTGGGTGATACGGAGTTTCTGTTTCAACTTTTTGAGGAAATGCCAAACTGCCTTCCAGAGTGGTTGTACCATTTTACAATCCCACCAACAGTGTATTAGCACTCCTTGACATCAACACCTAGTAAAAAGCAATATTGTTGTTGTTGTTATGTGCCGTCGAGTCGCTTGCGACTCATAGCAACCCTATGTACAACAGCCCTAAACTCTGCTCTGTCCTGTGCC